CTGATTGCCGCTGAAGTCAGTAAAGCCCACAAGTGTCGTTATAAAAGAACTGCTCAGGTATCGCATCAGCTTCACTCATGGTATCTCGAAAAGTTTCTTCAATTTCACAACCAGCTTCCATTCGTCAATTGATAGCTCATATTGAATATTTAAAATTACAATTAAGAGCCACAGTTGACATAGTCCGAAAAGTGAACTGTACATGAAATTTAAGCATACCCGGTTATTCGCTTTTAGTATATCAATCGACCTCCTTGAGATATGACTGACAAGTTCATCTTCAATTTCAAAATGCCTACCAAACATCCTTTGCTGTTCATCAGAATTTGCCCCAACTATCTGCAAAAACACAAAGAAAAGATGGCGATAAGCACTATGCCAAGGAAAGTCAGAAGCAGACAGGAACCAGATCACCCATAAAGCAAAGATGAGCATGGGTCAAATACTAAAAGCCAACAAAAGTAAAAGCTAAGGCCAGTAATGCATCAAAGGACTAGTTGCAAAATCAAAATAGTGCTTCAGTAGGACTTGACCTCAATGGAATCAAACCCTCCTCCCCTACTATCAAAACAGTAGTTATAACTATCATAGGGAGTTTTTAACTGATGTCTAGAAATTCTTTTATGCCTTTCCTTCCAAATGGCATACACAGCTTCCAGAAGGCAAAGTTCTTTTACAAGAGTTTCCCTTTTCATTGAGCTACAGCCCCAATCAATGAGCCATGACCATGGAGTCTATAGTTTCAAATTACTTAAGATTCTAATATTAATGACTACTGAACCCTGTGAAAAATTTAAGTTGCGCGGAAAATATGCGAGCAGTCACTTGTAATACATCAAATAATAGAACTTACACTTCCAATGATAATATCGAAAAGTATCAATCTGTGTATAGTTTTGCTTCGTCATTGCTCATACAAAAGAGCATTGATCTAACAAAAACCTATTATCTAGAACCCACTATTCATAACAAAAGTCATAAAGCCCTATAATTTTTGACAGGGCAACTCCATATATTTACCCAAGGCAAGAACAGCAACAGCTACAAAATTGAACTTTTCCGACCAGTAACACGTGGGAGAGAGGGAGGGGGAGAGAGAGAGAGAGAGTACAAATGTCAAAAGTTATCATACCTTAATGGCTACCCTCAGCCCCTTCTTCGCTATATCAACAGGTTTGTGGTTATTTTCAATGGATGCAATTCGCCCAATAGTAATAAAATCCCTTCGCGGAATACAAATTGGAGTCCCAACCTGCACAAAGATCGCATAATATGAAGACAGCCAGATTTAATTAACAAACATTTAATTGATCTTATAAAATAACACTTTCAAAAAGTTCCTGTGAAGGCGCTGAGCACTATCTACACCCCGGAACATAAATACACAAGCTTTGAAAGGTTGAGGAATGTAACACATGCTTTGAAAGGTGAAGGAATTAAACACATAATAACAGGAGTGGAACTTATTCATATTAAACCCAAAAAAACTCGCAAAGTTTGATCATACATGATTCAAGAACTAGTATTAATAAAATGAAGAGAAAAAATTAGGAAAAACCAAAAAAGCTAGCTCTGGAAACATCAAATATAATTTACCAGCATCTGGGGATGAACTTTCAGTGTAACAATATCTAGAATGTGTACTAGTTGTCTGGTATTTCGGATGATAAAGCACAAATACCACACAAACTAAAATTCTCATGAATTTCGAAAATTAATTGTTTTTTTAAGTGCATATTGTTTAAACAAAATATGTTGCATGTGAAAGTGCATGAGAAACCTTCTGAGAAATTTCACTACTTAATCCAAGATAGTAGTCGGCAATAAAAGGGCTTTCCCGCTCAGGAGTTACATCCTTAGCAGCGCCAAATAATGAAAAGGGGAACCAGCAAAACATGGGCAGGTTCCACAGGAACACTCGAGCTTTTTCAGCAAGATTGTTTCCACTGCCTACTTTAAACATTCAACAACTCTAATAACTCATTCAGTGAAAATTACAGACTAACCTTCTACTTGGGGCAATTTTCAACATTGAGGTCTCAGCTCAAGTTTCTAAGCAAAATAGAAAGAAAAAAAGAATCTAGAACAGAAATAAAAAGAGACAGACACAAATTAAGATGGTAAAAAATTAACCAAACACTCCTAAACAGTACTCTGAGAATAAACACAATGGGCCCTTCCCAAATGTATAGACATGTCATGCCACGATAAACCTAAATTTCGGACGGTATATCCCACTAAAGAGAGCAAGGTGAAACAAATTCAATGTATATAATAGTACCTTCGCAATGCCTTCCAGATCATCAACTCCCAACACAATTGGATCCTTCTTGTTGAAAACACAGTTGGGTAAAATCTTGAGCACACAGGGAAAGACAGCTTCATCAGCAGATTCCTTTTATCAGGCACCATCATCAAAGAGAACCTTATAGAATCGCTTTCTTTCTTCTGGGTCAAACAATCCTCCTCTATCTCCCTGATCATCAGGGTCAGACATCTCAGAGCTCCTGTCCTTGCCTTCATTTGGTCTACCCAAAACCATGCCTTTCTTTTTCTTCTTTTCTAGATTTACCAAATGGCGCCTGCAGTTATATTCATGAAGCCCCTCCTGCATAAGTTCTCCAAATTTCTCCTTCACAACAACAAGTGGATCCTTATCTACCAGTCCTTGCTCATTATAACCTTCTCTAAGAAGGACAGTATAGATCTGATACTTATTTGAGACATAGAATATGCCAGGGTGCTTGAGCAGCAAAACGTTCAATTTCTCTGGCAAAACAAATTCTCTCTGAAAATGTCCCAGCTTTGCAATTGATGCTTTCTTCCATAGAGTCAATGACAACAACTCATGCACCAAACCCACCGTCCTCTTCTCCATCTCCTTTGATCCCTCCACTAAGCCTTTGGAGTCAAAGTAGGGTGAAATATAAGGAGTCGCATTAAATTCATGAAATCTTTCCCATGACTTGACCCAAGTTGAAGGCAATGAGCATGTGAAACATGGCTCAGTTCCTTGATTGTGAGCTGAAGCTTCAATAGCAGATACCGCTAAATCTGGATTCCAAGACACCAGCTCAATCTCCATGGAACTCCTCCGCCCACTATAATTAACAATCTGAAACATATCAGAATACTTTGGCACAAGTCTAATCAAATAGTCATCTGGAAAACCTAAGTTCCGCTTTAGTTCATTAAGCTTGACAACATTTAGTCTTTTATTGGAGCTCATCATAAGTAACTTTGCTAATCTCTCAACAAACACAGGTTCCTGCATGTCTTTAACAGATTCTTCCTCTTCCACCAAACCCATCATTCGTTTTGTTAGCTGGCAGTAGTACTCATCACCCTGCAAATAGACTTGAAAACAGCATGGGTACTTTTTGAGCCAATTGAGAGCCTTTCCTTGGAGATCAAGGGTCTTGAACTTCTTCTGAATGAATCTCACTGTTGCTACTTGATCAGGGCACCTCAGGATGATGTTTTTTATTTGATTATTCACTATCCATCGGCGATTCTTAGACAGCGCTGATTCAAGATATGGATCCTTCTTCATTGACCACAGAGAAAAGTTTCGAACGAAGTATTGAACAAGTCTTGGGTTCCAAAAGTGCATTGTAACAACCATTTTTCTCTTCTATATGTAACTTCAACATCTAAGAAACAAACTAAAGAAAAATGTAGAAAAATTAATGCATGTCCCAAGCACACAAAGTGATGTTGAAAACAATTTAAATTAAAACATTGGACAGTTAAAATGAGAGACAGATAAGATAAACCAGATAACCAAAGCGGTGCAAATGAAGGTTGACAAGATAAAGTACTTCAAACATTGCTAACTTTTCATCAAAGTTAAAGTGGCTAAATTTTCCAACGTTGGAAATTTGGAAAATTTAGCTACTTTAACTATGATGATTGCCAACATTAGGCGTTTGGTATCCTATTCAAGCAGGGAACTCAAAAACTTTGATTTTTCTTAAAAACAAGGAGTTCTCCAATGTTCAAAAACTTGTTTGGTATGCAACTGCTATATCAACAGGTTTGTGGTTATTTTCAATGGATGCAATTCGCCCAATAGTAATAAAATCCCTTCGCGGAATACAAATTGGAGTCCCAACCTGCACAAAGATCGCATAATATGAAGACAGCCAGATTTAATTAACAAACATTTAATTGATCTTATAAAATAACACTTTCAAAAAGTTCCTGTGAAGGCGCTGAGCACTATCTACACCCCGGAACATAAATACACAAGCTTTGAAAGGTTGAGGAATGTAACACATGCTTTGAAAGGTGAAGGAATTAAACACATAATAACAGGAGTGGAACTTATTCATATTAAACCCAAAAAAACTCGCAAAGTTTGATCATACATGATTCAAGAACTAGTATTAATAAAATGAAGAGAAAAAATTAGGAAAAACCAAAAAAGCTAGCTCTGGAAACATCAAATATAATTTACCAGCATCTGGGGATGAACTTTCAGTGTAACAATATCTAGAATGTGTACTAGTTGTCTGGTATTTCGGATGATAAAGCACAAATACCACACAAACTAAAATTCTCATGAATTTCGAAAATTAATTGTTTTTTTAAGTGCATATTGTTTAAACAAAATATGTTGCATGTGAAAGTGCATGAGAAACCTTCTGAGAAATTTCACTACTTAATCCAAGATAGTAGTCGGCAATAAAAGGGCTTTCCCGCTCAGGAGTTACATCCTTAGCAGCGCCAAATAATGAAAAGGGGAACCAGCAAAACATGGGCAGGTTCCACAGGAACACTCGAGCTTTTTCAGCAAGATTGTTTCCACTGCCTACTTTAAACATTCAACAACTCTAATAACTCATTCAGTGAAAATTACAGACTAACCTTCTACTTGGGGCAATTTTCAACATTGAGGTCTCAGCTCAAGTTTCTAAGCAAAATAGAAAGAAAAAAAGAATCTAGAACAGAAATAAAAAGAGACAGACACAAATTAAGATGGTAAAAAATTAACCAAACACTCCTAAACAGTACTCTGAGAATAAACACAATGGGCCCTTCCCAAATGTATAGACATGTCATGCCACGATAAACCTAAATTTCGGACGGTATATCCCACTAAAGAGAGCAAGGTGAAACAAATTCAATGTATATAATAGTACCTTCGCAATGCCTTCCAGATCATCAACTCCCAACACAATTGGATCCTTCTTGTTGAAAACACAGTTGGGTAAAATCTTGAGCACACAGGGAAAGACAGCTTCATCAGCAGATTCCTTTTATCAGGCACCATCATCAAAGAGAACCTTATAGAATCGCTTTCTTTCTTCTGGGTCAAACAATCCTCCTCTATCTCCCTGATCATCAGGGTCAGACATCTCAGAGCTCCTGTCCTTGCCTTCATTTGGTCTACCCAAAACCATGCCTTTCTTTTTCTTCTTTTCTAGATTTACCAAATGGCGCCTGCAGTTATATTCATGAAGCCCCTCCTGCATAAGTTCTCCAAATTTCTCCTTCACAACAACAAGTGGATCCTTATCTACCAGTCCTTGCTCATTATAACCTTCTCTAAGAAGGACAGTATAGATCTGATACTTATTTGAGACATAGAATATGCCAGGGTGCTTGAGCAGCAAAACGTTCAATTTCTCTGGCAAAACAAATTCTCTCTGAAAATGTCCCAGCTTTGCAATTGATGCTTTCTTCCATAGAGTCAATGACAACAACTCATGCACCAAACCCACCGTCCTCTTCTCCATCTCCTTTGATCCCTCCACTAAGCCTTTGGAGTCAAAGTAGGGTGAAATATAAGGAGTCGCATTAAATTCATGAAATCTTTCCCATGACTTGACCCAAGTTGAAGGCAATGAGCATGTGAAACATGGCTCAGTTCCTTGATTGTGAGCTGAAGCTTCAATAGCAGATACCGCTAAATCTGGATTCCAAGACACCAGCTCAATCTCCATGGAACTCCTCCGCCCACTATAATTAACAATCTGAAACATATCAGAATACTTTGGCACAAGTCTAATCAAATAGTCATCTGGAAAACCTAAGTTCCGCTTTAGTTCATTAAGCTTGACAACATTTAGTCTTTTATTGGAGCTCATCATAAGTAACTTTGCTAATCTCTCAACAAACACAGGTTCCTGCATGTCTTTAACAGATTCTTCCTCTTCCACCAAACCCATCATTCGTTTTGTTAGCTGGCAGTAGTACTCATCACCCTGCAAATAGACTTGAAAACAGCATGGGTACTTTTTGAGCCAATTGAGAGCCTTTCCTTGGAGATCAAGGGTCTTGAACTTCTTCTGAATGAATCTCACTGTTGCTACTTGATCAGGGCACCTCAGGATGATGTTTTTTATTTGATTATTCACTATCCATCGGCGATTCTTAGACAGCGCTGATTCAAGATATGGATCCTTCTTCATTGACCACAGAGAAAAGTTTCGAACGAAGTATTGAACAAGTCTTGGGTTCCAAAAGTGCATTGTAACAACCATTTTTCTCTTCTATATGTAACTTCAACATCTAAGAAACAAACTAAAGAAAAATGTAGAAAAATTAATGCATGTCCCAAGCACACAAAGTGATGTTGAAAACAATTTAAATTAAAACATTGGACAGTTAAAATGAGAGACAGATAAGATAAACCAGATAACCAAAGCGGTGCAAATGAAGGTTGACAAGATAAAGTACTTCAAACATTGCTAACTTTTCATCAAAGTTAAAGTGGCTAAATTTTCCAACGTTGGAAATTTGGAAAATTTAGCTACTTTAACTATGATGATTGCCAACATTAGGCGTTTGGTATCCTATTCAAGCAGGGAACTCAAAAACTTTGATTTTTCTTAAAAACAAGGAGTTCTCCAATGTTCAAAAACTTGTATATATATATATAGATATATATTAGACAAACAACATTCTACTTAAACATACTATCTTAACATCCATGTTTTAATACCATACATAAATGATCGCCAAGCTCAGTTAAGGAGAAGACATTCACTGAGACAAAACATACACTTAAACACACAACCAGAAAAGAAAAAAAAAACAATACAAAGGGCAACTTGCAAAGCAAAACTCAACACCAATACAAACTCTTATCTCACGGCAGATTAAAAAGACTAGAAAGGGACACCCATCAACGTAAAAACCCAGTTCACGATGAACTCAAACTCAAAACACAGACACACACATTTAACATGCATTAAAAATCAAAACCCTTTTCCCAAAAACGACAAAGTAAGGCAGAGAGAAAGACCTTCCTGACAACCAGGGGTGCATTCACGGGTGATTTCCAGATCACCATTGACGAAAACCCTCCCAACAACAAGGGCGCCAACCAATCAGAACCAGTTAGCAAAGAAAAAAATGTACAGAGGTATCTGATGTTTTTTAGGGATAAAAAGAAGGAAAGATCTGTATACGGACTCGATGATTGATGGCACCTCAACTCATAAGCAGAGTGATTTTAGACCTCCAAGGCTAAAAGATATATGCCCAACCACCTTACATTGATAATGTATTTCATCTGAATTTTCACGCCCAAAGCTTCAAGCTTTGCTGGACTATTAATTCACCCATATATGGACTCAATTAGCTTTTAAATAATTAAATACCACATATGGACACAAAAGTAGGACATCCAATATTTCATGGTGAATAAGGCATGGGCATAAAAGCAAACAAACCTGAGCACTCATATGAAAAATGAAAAACCTCAGTCTATCAAATATCATGGTTTTGCAATTCATTTGAAACTTGTTCCCTCAAAAATTGTCACAAAACCAATTCCTAACTTCTTCCCTAATAACAGGAAGAAGCTATTAGAAGCTATTGTAATAATATACAGAACATTACAAAGAAAAATTAATCTGTTTTCTTATAAGAAAACAAGTGATGAAAAGTCTAAAAGCTCTTCTCTTATAAGAAAAATAAATCCAAAAGAACGAAAAGAACAACACCATACACTATACATTTTTCATAACAGTAGAACCCAATTAAAAAAATCAAAGTTTTCCCCTACATGACAGGACCTTCCGAGTTTACACTTTAGATTTCTGGAAAGCATAAATGCCCTGCATAGAGTGAAGAAAACAGAACCCAGTGACAGGTTCTGCGGATTGGGGAATGAATTGAAGCTTCCTATGGATCTTTGTTGTGGAGTCTAAACTCTAAAGAATGTGTATTAATGGTTCATAAGTAAAAAATTCTGAAGACTAATACAAGACTAGTTTGATTCTATGATAAGTATAGAAAAATGCAGGGCCATAACAAGAGCATACCAAGGCAACGTAAGCTCTAAACTTTCACATCTAATATGATCTCAGACACTTACATTATCAACTATAATCAATTGAAAAGCCCATTGCATCATAAAACACAACAAATGAACTTGCATAACCAGTATCACAACAAGCCATTAAATTTTAAACAAATCCACACTTAATTATGCAGTCACTAATCCACATAATTATAATCCCAAAACTATGAAAACTTAAAACACATATAAATAAATCACTCATGGGCATCCTCCACTCTACAATCACAAATGGGTTTGGTTCTAAATAAATCAACCACTTCAAGAAAAAATTACATTTTAGGCTACACACAAGAATTCATATAGATCAAATCGAATTAGATATAAATAAGCTATAAATCAAACATAACAGAAATGAAAATTAATCCCCAATCTTCAGTAACAAGGACAAAAAGGGAACTAAAAATTACCCGAGGCTTCGATTCAGCTCACGGCGAACCAATGGTGTCGCCTGTGCGGTGGCGTGTGACGCCGAGGCTTCGACTGACGGAATCACAGTGACGAGAAGAGGCAAGGAAGCGCAGTCCTCAGATGCCCAGCCCTAAAATTTACTGATGAGAGAGAGGGAGAGAGGGGGGCGAAGAGAGAAAGATGGAGAGAGAGAGGGACTAAGAGAGAGATGGGGAGAGAGGAAGCAAGGGAGCTTCAAGCTTCTGCCATGGAGGATTGAAGCTTGAGCTCGACCAGAAGGAGCTCAGATCAAGCGTCGCTCGAGCAATGAGAGACGAGTAATAAAAAACAGTGTTTTTTTTTTTTTTTAACCCTCACGGGTTGGCCCAGTGGTAAGGGCGTTTCCCAGGCCCTATGTAAACGGGAGATCCTGGGTTCGATTCCTGCCGTTGGTGAATCAAGCGATGAGGGCCAGGGACGGGGTGAAATTCCCTATAGCCTCTCCGGGTCCCGGAAGGGGTGGATGGCCGTGGCTTGCCACCAGCAGTCCCCCTTTTTAAAAAAACAAAAAACAAGAAAAACAGTGTTTTTGAGTTTTTTTTAGGCTTAAATGTTAAAATGATATTGTGTTACGCCTTCTCCAACCGTGAAGGGCTAAACCCAAATTTTCACCTCCAAAAAGTGGCTATTTGGGTTTTGTCCGGACTCAAATTATTTTTCTCCTAACCCTCCGAACTCAAATTTTAGGTCCGCAACTTTATTAAATTGTTTAAGAATGGTTTAAGTTTAATTTTTTTTTTTATGGATAACTTTTCTTCATTCAATCTTTTTAAATAACTTCATAATTAAATTTTTTAAACAATTTGACCTAAAAAAATTAAAATTCCACAAATATAATTTTATTTCAAAAGAAAACACACAACATAATTCTAAAAGAAAACACACAATGCTTCAAATTCACCGTACATGAATGCCAATATGAATAAACTAATAACCATCATCGTGGGGGCTTGGATAATAATCCCCTGAATTATCTTCAGGATTAACGGTAGACTGTTGACCCCCGCATGTTCTTGTATAATTTCATCTTGTTTATCCCCCCAATACTTCTTCTTTCTTGGAGTAAATTTGGACACGTCCATGGACATTTTTTTTTTGTTCTTGGGCTTCCTTATCTTGTTGCTTCTTATACGCATAAGCATCAGCTTGATCTTGGACAAATTTGTCCAATATGTTGAGCTTTCGTCTCCTATCATCCTCGAAAGCAATACCTTGCTCCACCAATGTTTCCAAGTATTATCACTTTTTTGTTGAGAAGGGTCAGCCATCTTCCTTTTTTTTTTTTTTGCAGCCTTTTGTTTATCTCGCCCCTCAAGCCTTGGACTAGGCATGGTGATTTCGTTTGCATCGTTATCCAAATTCACCATACTTGCACTAGCTCCAGAAGAATGTTGTGCGGGAGGCTCATTTATATCGTTCCACTTTGGGCAATCTTTTAAGATTTCCTAAGCATTATACAACTTGAAAGGCCTATTTGGAGGCTTATTATCATTAAGAAATATTGTTTTTGCATACACATCCTACGCATGAAAAAATAAATTTAAGTTTGGAGTTGAATAAAAGTACAAATATAAATTTAAATCTTTAATAAGAATGGTTACTTACCACATCATGTAAATTTCAGCCACTTTGTGGGTTCGTATTGGCCTTAGTCAAGCATGCCTTCCAAAGAGAACATTGTTGGTTGATAGTCTTGAACCGAGAAGCAATGGCTTGATATGTTCGTCGCTCGGGTCCACTAATGCCTGGATCATTTTCCAGAAACTTTTGATATACACGCTTCCAAAATGTGTCGCTTGCTTGATTGGTGCCAATAGCCCCATCTTCACTGACAGAATCCCACCCTTTGCACAATGCCTCATCTTTCGAGCCTCCAATTCACACCTCTTTGAGGTTTTTTGGACATCTTCAACAAGAATGAAAAGAGATTGATGAGATTGACAAAGGAAAAATAAATTGAGAAATAGATAAAATATTTTTGGTAGATTATTTGAGAAATAGATGGGTATTTATAGAGTTTGGAGTGAGTTTTGGGGTTGGATCTGACCTAGATTAATTTAAAATATTATTTTGACCGTTGGATTTAAATTTCAGCCATTAGATCTTTTTTGTTACCGTTAAAATAGCTTAGATTTAATCTAGAACGTTAATTTAAAGTTACTATTATAATTTTTTTTATTTTTAAAAACAGATTCTTTGAAGCCCAACGGCTCTTTGAGCTGGAAACACAGTGCATGTGGGCCCCAGCAATTCTATTTGATTTTTTTTATTTAAAAAAAAGTAAACAACCCAAGCCCAACGGCTCATTGTTGTAGTGCTAACACGTGGCTTTAGCCACAGCTCCAACCCATCAGAAAATGTCAACAGCATGGGTCCCACTAATTTTCAGAAGCACATGAGGTCTGCCACCTCAGCGTGGGGTCCAGTGAATAGTATTGGGTCCAAATTTGGGTTTTCCCAAATTTTGGGTCCTTTCTTTTCTTGAGTTGGGAGAGGTTTGGGGGGATATTTTGGGTTTGAGTCCAAGGGTTTGAGATGACCTTATATTTCATAGGCCAATTTAGTCTATGTGTTATCAATTTGGCCAAGTTGGTCCTTGTGTTTGTATATATTAGTCAATGTGATCCATTCCCTTAAAAAAGTCCCGTTCTCTTGGATCCCCGTATATATTAGTCAATGTGATCCATTCCCTTAAAACAGTCTCGTTCTCTTGGACCACTGGGGTCAAAGAGACTCGTGGTCACCCACCCTTAGATTTAATCCAAGGGTTAAGAAAAATTTACTTTAAAATATCTTTTTTCTTTTACCTTTTAAATTTCACTTAACAAGCTAAGACTTGTATATTCTTTGTGAAGGTAATTTACAATTGAAATCATGAACCCATATTTGGGAATTTCAATTGGGTTTGTGTTATTTTTTAGGGCTAACGACAAAAGACCCCTTCAAGGTTTGGAGTCATTTTCAATATAGGTCATGCAGTATCAGTTTCATCAATTTACACCCCAATGTTTTCAAATGTGTCCAATTTTATCCTTCCGTTAAGTTGACCGTGTGGTCAATCGTTAACTGCTGACATGGCCACTGTGGGACCCACCTCACAACTGACTAACCATTCCATGAAGAACTTCTGAAGGGTATTTTCGGAATGAAAAATGAAAAATGCGCCCAATCCTTGCACGTGTTCCAAAGGCATCTTTACGAATTTGCCCTAAACCTCCAACAGTCCTCCTCCGACGTCTCTCTCAATCTGTCCCCTTTCTCCACCACCACCCAAAATGAGCGATTCATTGCAAAACCCAGAAATATGCATACGATTTATGGGGTGCAAAGATTGAGGCGAATTCGTACACCCATGACAAGTCACCATGACCAAGCTTGAGGTTGCCTCTTTGATTAGAAGTATTCAAATGGTCAAACAATATATACATGATATGATGGTTTGGCTTTGGACCAATTCAGGTCAGTATAATTTCAAATCTGGATGTTCTGGGTTCTTAGAGTGAGCTCAATTGCACTTTCCCTTTGTTTTCTTGGTTGGATGTTTTGATTTTTTGTTCCCCATTTTCTGGACTTTACAATGAATCCCTCATTTTGACCAAAATAAAAAATAATAAAAAATAAAAAATTCGAACCACCTTGAACCCTGAATTCAAACGCATGACCAAACTCATCATTCACGAAAGCCAAGACCCACTAGTGACCCCAACCTAACTTAGATGCGGACGACAACAACTCCTCCAACAACGACGAGGATCGGACCCAACTCGCCAGAAGAACTTCAGAGGAGTCCTGCCGGTGGCCAAGGGGTTGATGGGCCCGGAGCCATTTGGAGTTTGCTGGCAGTGGCGGATGCACGTTGGGACAAGAGGGGTCGGACGACCCCTTGGAAGGCTAGAAAGTTGGCAAGGGACTCCATTGAAGCCCCCTTGGATGCACGCCAACTACTCGACGAAAGTCCCAGGAGAAGGAGAAGCTTGCTGCGCAGCTACGCTACGCCTTGTGCGCGTGCACTGCGTGTGATTTTTTTTTTAAAACAGCCTTGCCAAACAACGTCGTTTGGTCCAAGGCTCAGTCAATTTTTTTTTTAAATGACCTGGCCTCAAAACGACATCGTTTTGGGCCAGTTTATAAAATAAAAATAAAATTAAAAAAACAGAACAACACAGCCTTCGAATCTGCACAGCAGCCCCAAACCCTTCATTCCCAATTTCACACCTCCTCAACCCACCCTCTCAAACCCTAACCTCTCCCAACTTCCGACAACCTCCATCAACTCTTCGCCGGTGGCGCAGTGCCAATCACCGCCGTCCCCATCCACCCTTGTTTTCAACTACAAGTAAGCTTGGCAAAATTTATATTAATAACTATAGTGATAATATATATTGTTGTTGATATTGATTTTTTTTTTTTTATGCAATGAAATTTATGGATGTGAATCATATTGATTGATTGAATTTATGCTTTATGAATATGAATCAATTAATGAAGTTTATGCTTGAAATTTATGAATATGAATCATATTGATATTTTTTGTATATAATGAAATTTATAGATATGATATGAATCATAGTGATAATCATATTAATGTAGATTGATTGAGTTTATGCTTGATTGAAAATGTGAATTTATTGAGTATATTGAATATTAATTGATATTTGATATGATAATTTAGTATATTGAATATTGATTGATATGGGTTTAGGGAGTATATTGAATTTTGAGAGTGGATTATTATCATTTTCATATTCATATGATAATTTGGATAAAAATTAATGATTGATTGAATTAATTGATTTGTAGATTTATAGAACGATTGTTTAAAAGAAAATTATCTACGAATAGTCCTTCTCCGTTTAATCCGGGTAGTTCAAATGCAAGACCAATTGAAGTAGATGAGATCTTAGCTAATCTTCAGGTAGACCCTGGACTAAGAACTCGAATGACGGATTATAGTCCTAATATTCGGGATGAGATCCGAAGAGCATATCTACAAAAGGAACCTTGTCAACCTAGAAGTTATAAATTCCCACAAACTAATCAATCAGGAATTAATAGACGCTTCATTGCTAATTGGTTTGATGATCATGATTGGTTGGAATATAGTATTGCTAAAGATGCTGCATTTTGTCTTCATTGTTATCTCTTCAAATCAAATTTTGATCAAGTGGGTGGTGATGCATTCACTGGGGTAGGCTTCAATAATTGGAAGAAGGCGAAAGAAAGATTTAATCTTCATGTTGGACCGGTTGGTAGTGTTCACAACCAAGCTAGAGAAGTTGCTTACAATTTGATGCATCAAACTACACACATTGAAACAATTGTCATCAAGCAAACAAGCCAAGCTCGCACGGCTTATCACATTTGCTTGAATGCATCACTTAAGTACACTAGGTATTTGTTGCGACAAGGTCTTTCTTTTCGTGGTCATAATGAAAGTGCACAATCAAGTAATAGAGGGAATTATTTAGAGCTCTTGCAATTTCTTGCAAATTATGATGAAAAAGTTAAGGCCGTTGTGTTGGAAAATGCTTCAAGAAATTTAAAGTTAATAGCTCCTTCAATTCAAAAAGATCTTGTCAATTCTTGCGCTAAAGAAACCATTGGTCTTATCTTGAGTGATGTAAAAGATATATATTTTTCAATAATGGTGGATTAAGCACGTGATGTTTCAATAAAGGAGCAAATGGCGATGGTGCTTCATTATGTGAATGACAAAGGACAAATAATTGAAAGGTTTGTGGGGGTTCAATATGTGACCGACACTACTTCAAGTGCACTAAAGGAAGCCATTGATGAATTCTTTTCTTCCGTGAATTTGAGCTTTTCCAAGCTACGATGACAAGGTTATGATGGAGCTAGTAATATGAGAGGTGAGTTCAATGGCCTTAAGACAAAGATTTTGAGAGAACAACCTTGTGCATTTTATGTTCATTGTTTTGCTCATCAACTTCAACTAGCTCTTGTTGCGGTAGTAAAGAAAAACATTGATGTCAATTCTTTTTTCACAACGGCTAATAGTTTGGTTAATGTTGTTGGAGCATCTTGTAAGCATCAGGATGCACTTAGAGCACAATACCAAGAAGAGATTGTGAGAGCTTTTGAAGAAGATTGTCTTATAACGGGGCGGGGCTTAAATAAAAAAAATACTCTCAAACGTGCCGGCGATACACGATGGAACTCACATTATGGTACGTTGATTAGTATCATTTCTATGTTCCCATCTGTGGTGAATGTGCTTCAAATGATTGTTGATGATAATCCTAATGATAGTTCGGGTGAAGCCTATAAGTTATGGAGAGAAATACAATCTTTTGAGTTTGTGTTTCACTTATTTTTAATGAAAGCTATATTGGGAATAACAAACACTTTGTCTCTAGCATTGCAAAAGAAAGATCAAGACATTGTAAATGCAATGAGTTTAGTGACAACATGCAAGGAAAACCTGCAGTTCATGAGGGATAATGAGTTTGAAGAATTGGTTGAGCAAGCATCTTCGTTTTGTTACAAACATGATATTACCGTTCCTACCATGGATGAGGAATATGTAATTTCAGGGAGATCACGGCGTAATGCTCCAATGAAGACAAATTATCATCGTTATCGTGTGGAGATCACGATGTAATGCTCCAATGAAGACAAATTATCATCGTTATCGTATGGAGATCTTTATTCATGTAATTGATGGGCAACTTGCAGAATTAAATGATCGCTTCAACGAGGTAAGTACTGAGTTACTTACTTGTTTGGCATGCTTGAGTCCGAAAAATAACTTTGTAGCTTTTGACAAACGAAAGCTAGTTCGTCTTTCTCAATTTTATCCTTATGATTTTTCGGATAAAGACTTATTGATGCTTGAAGATCAACTTGGTGTTTATGTTCATCATTTGCGTTCGAGTATTGATTATTCTCAATTGGAAGGGATTAGTAGTCTTGCGGAAAAAGTGGTGGAGAAAGGAATGCATGAAATATTTCCTTATGTGTATTTGCTTATTACATTGGCTTTGGTTTTACCGGTTGCAATTGCTTCAGTGGAGAGAGCATTTTCTGCTATGAATATTATTAAAAATCTACTTCGCAACATAATGAAAGATCAATGGTTGAATGATAGCTTGATTGGTTACATTGAGAGAGATGTTTTTGCTTGTATTGATAATGAAACTATAATGCAACGTTTTCAGAATATGAAAACTCGTCGTGGACAATTGTAACTTGTATTATTGGTTTTGTTATGAATTATGAATGGAAGTACTATCTTTCTATCTTTTTAGTATTATTTTCTTTGTAGAAAAATTTCGAAAATTTTACACTAAGCCCCCTTGGCCACATAATCTTAGATCGGCCACTGGTTGCTGGGGTAGGACAGGTGAGCATATCTATGATAGGTTTCATAGATGTGTGCGCAATGGGTTGGTGCGTTGGGTGCGACTTGACTGAGTGGGCGGTGGGTTTGGTGCTACTGTTTGGTGGTGGTGGAGAGAGAGGAGGAGGGGGAGGGAGGAATGGAGTGAGAGAGACAGCGGAGGATGAATGCTGGCGGTTTTTATCGAATTCGTACAGATGCTTTCGGAAAGCGTACAAGGATTGGGTGCCATTTTTTTATTTAATATGTATTTTTCATTCTGAAAATACCCTTCAGAAGTTCTACATGGAATGGTCAGTTAGTTGTGAGGTGGGTCTCACAGTGGCCATGTCAGCAGTTAACGATTGACCACACAGTTAATTTAACGGAATGATAAAATTGAACAAATTTGAAAACATTGGGGGTGTAAATTGATGAAACTGATACTCCATGGCCCACATTGAGAATGACTCCAAACCTTGAAGGAGTCTTTTGTTGGTAGCCCTATTTTTTATTTCAAAACTACTGGAACAAATATGAATCTCAATATAGGCTTCTTCTATTCGAGTTTTTCCTTTGTCAAACATGAATCTTAATATGGAATTTTTGCAACTATTGCTAGAAACACAAAGAGTTCATTCATTTACAGACTTCTAGAATGCAGCAAGATCAGTTAACTATCAGTAAAAACAAAATTCATTTATAACATTCAGTTAAAAATTGCATACATATGAACACACCACAACCCATATCATAGTTGTAAAGTAATCAACTTCTCTCTTGTAAAGGAGCTTCGAATTAACCAAATTCAACCAATAATAGGCAGTTGTTTATCATATTATCTACCTATTGGAATTCAACCAATTCAAACCAACCAATTACAAGCTTTGCTATGGTTGGGAAAAAATAAAAACCTGGTAACAGATAGGGAACACAAGTCTGTCAGAAACTACAGGACGATTCACTATAGTGAAAACTTGACGTGGACATTTTCTGAGCCAGAGAAATGAAAGTAACCATTATTCTTTTCCCAGTTCATTCGCAATTTCTAGAAATCAAAGGGTTTATTCTTTTCCCAACTAGAGCTGATATTTGTTCAGATGCGTACAAGGAAAAGTTACATAATTCCAAAATAAAAAATAACACAAACTCAATTGAAATTCCCATATATGGGTTCATGATTTCAAATCCAAAAATTGAGTAAAAAACTCAACAAGAACAAGAAACTGACCTTGTTGAAGTGTGAGGGAATAAGTCGCTCTGGATTTTCGCTCGCTACACCGGAGTCGGAGTTGTTGTTGCTGCAACAATGGGAGGAAGCAAAATGTGGGGGCAGCGGGATGAAGAAGAACAGATTTTGGGCTTTTAGTTTTTAGTTTTTTCCTTTTTCGTTAAGTGAAATTTAAAAGGTAAAAGAAAAAAGATATTTTAAAGTAAATTTTTCTTAACCCTTGGATTAAATCTAAGGGTGGGTGATCGGGTACACCACGTGGCTGGTGTACCATCCAATAAATACAGTACATGTGGAATTATTGTCTAACTTACTGCATTTCTTTTTATAACATGTGGCGGGCTGCATTGCAAATATTCCATATTTCTTCCGTCTATTGGATAGTACACCAGCCACGTGGTGTACCCGAAACACCAAAAAATTACTCGACCCCACGAGTCCAAGAGAACGAGACTGTCCCTTAAAAATATAAAATATAAAATATAAAATATTTAAAATTAATTAAAAAAAATTGTAATTGAATATAAAATTTTAAATTCAATCTGAAAATGCAATATATATTTTTTAATAATATTGCTACTCTTACCACATTTTGTATACCAAATCCTATACCACCTTATGTAGTAGTTGAAGTGCATAGTCACATCAATTAAAATTATTTCAATTTTTTATTTCTTTTAGAATTTATCAATCTGCAAAAAAGAAAAAGAATTTTTTAAAAAAAACCTTATGGTCAATGGAGGAGAATGAACATGAAAATATAGCATCAACTGCCACATAAGGTGGTAAATGTTAAAAGAAATAAAACATTGAAATAATTTTAATTGATGTGGCTGTCCACCTCAGCTGCCACAAAGGATTGAAATATCAGCCAATACACCGATATATCGATATTTTGAACTGTCGACACTGATATTGGGGGGTAAGGCCATATCATCCCCGATCTCTACGATATATCCCCGATATTTTGCCGATATTCCCGATATTTCCCGATACCCATAACAAACCCAAAAAAATTCAAAAGTTTTGAAGCAAATTGAAACTGAAAAGATTTTTTGGATGTATATGTGCAGTGATTAGATATGTGTGAAGGCTTTTGGCAATATTCAATTCAAAAGATGTTTTGGAATATGCATCAAAAGAATCTAAGCACAGTCAATTGAGGGGCTTCCCATTATTTTATCAATGGCTTGGCTTCCCATCTTTTGGTCTAACGTGTATTGATCACAACCACTATATTTGTAAATTTGTAGATTATATGATACACAAAATATTAGTATAATAATAATTAATAATGTAAAGAATGTAAGTGATTATTTTTTGAGCCATGAAAAGAAGGACTTGGAAGAAGAATTGGTTCTTTACTTGGTGCTTGGAAGACTGTTTTGAGCTTTGGGGTTCTCTTTTTTGGCTCATTGTTCGGCCTTTAAACTGTTGAAAGCTTTTATCTAAGTTCGGCCCTTCAGGGAAATTAACTAGAAATGTTATATTCCACTCAAAGTCTGAGCTTCTTGTGGAACTTTTTATCATTTAATATTTATTTCATTTTTTGGTTGTTTCTTTTTCACTTTTCGAAGTCAGACAATTGGCAATATGCAATTCACTGCCCACATACCTCCAAAAAATTTGACTACTTTTAGTTCCATCAAAGTCAGAGAATCATCTAACTGGAATCCATAAAATAAAGTCTGCAAAGCCCATATACCATTGTCCCCCAACCCCCCAAAACTTCTCATTGTTATCACGAGAGAAGCCCTCTTTAAATCATAGGCTATTTTGCTTTTTTTGGGGCACCAAATCTTCCCTTCTCTTCTCTTTCTTTCTCTGCGAGCTTTTCAATTTTTATTTAGCCTGTGAGCTTCTTTCCTTGTTTGCAAGTTCTCTTTGACTGCTATTTCAGGTATGTGGCTCTCCCTCATGGTCTATATTATTTTTGTGATAGATTTGATATTGTAAGTTAATTTAATATATTTTAAGTGTTATAGATTAAAAATGGCAAGTAGTAGTGGACCGAGTAGAGCTAATGTGCCTGGTGGTCTTCATGTGGCATGGAAATATGCTCGTCTAATAGAAGGCAATAAGCATGGCACCATATGTACATTTTGTGAATCCACATTTAAAAGTGGTGGAATTACACGGTTAAAGTATCATTTGGGCGGATTTGATCCACATAAGAGTGTAAAGAAGTGCAAAGAAGTACCACTAGATATTAAGAAGGAGATAATTGCATGGATAAAGGAGAAAGAGTCTAGCAAACAACATAAGAAATCTGTTGAAGAAAACATAAGATCTACAGCAAGAGAGGGATACATGGGCAATAAAAGTAGCAATCCTGTTGATGATGATGATGACGATGATGACGATGGATATGCATATCCTCCAGACATGTACCCTGCGGAGAAAGAAGATTACCTTGCTGCCATTAGAGCATCGAAGCAAGAAGAACGATTTAGACAAGGAGGAGTTTATGGAATGGGAAGCAAACGATTTGTAAGGGGAGCAAGTGGTAGTAGTCAACCACAATACCGTCGCACTCAAAGCCTTCGAGACCCACTTCCATCTCCTCCGGTATCAATGCCATACAAGAACACTAGAGCAAAACAGAGAACAATCAAAGGCATGATTAGAAACTCAGCAGAGGTACTTGGAAGATACTGCAGCAAATTCTTCGTACTTGAGAATGTGGCTCCTCAAAAAGCAAGTTCCCCTCATTTCCAGAACATGATTGCTGCAGCCCAACAAGCAAGTTTTGCTTTATTCCTTATAACTTTCCTTTCTTGAATTTAAATATTCTAAACACACCAATTACTAATATGAGTTTATATTAGGTCAAGGCGTAGCCATACCATCACCGTATGAAATAAAGCATAAGTACTTAGATATGGAACACACAGACATGCAATCCTATGTGGAAAAGGTAAAGGAAGATTGGGGCGTGTATGGATGCACCATCATGAGTGATGGATGGATTGGCCCCACGAGGTTGTCCATAATAAATTTCGTGGTCTACTCAAATGGGAAAACAATTTTTTTGAAATCAGTGGATGCTTCA